AAAAACCTTCTCGCCGTATTACCGTCATTTTGTACTAGCGCAACTTGGAAGTGGTTTGTCGATGTTTAATCCCATCTGAACTTTAAATTCTTCTTGGATTCTGCTTTTTTCCGCAGCTCTCAGTTCTTTCAATTCTTCATTATTTTTTGTTGATTTAGTAAGATTCTCTGGCACACTTCTATATTTGAGGTCGCACAGTGGTATAGGAAAAAAAAAAAGAGGGAAATAATTCGGTAACTTCTAAACGGTTAATCCGATTTTAATGAAATTTGGTATGCACAAAGAGGAGGTGTTGTCGAGTTTAGGTTTTGAATTTGGACCTTATAGGCCAACCAGGGGCCCGGCGGGGGGTCCTCAAATTAGGACACCTCGGCTATGTTAAATTTTTAAAACGATCCTATTTCTTCATTTGAGTTCCGATTTAAAAAAAATTTCGTATATAGAATCTCCTCATCGAGCACTATAAAAAATGTCGTAGGAGTAAATTATCTCTTATAGTTTAGGAGATATTCGCATTTGAAAATTAAAATTTTAAAATTTTTACCGTCCTTACTTTAGTTTTTTTGATAATATTCGCTTAACAACAAGTTTATATATCAAGCAGTGAAAGAATTATGTAAAAATCATGACTGAGTCCAAAGTTATAGGCATTTTAATTTAAAAAATAAAAAAAGGCGATTTTTTGTAATTTTTTTGGGAAAAAAGTATCTTTTTCTTTTTAAGTTATCTAAAAAGTTTCTAAGAAGATGTATATAGAATTTATACTTTTTGGAAAGCTGACTTTACATAAAGTACGATAAATGAAACAAAACCTAAAAATTTTTGATACCGAGGGGACCAGGTCCATCCAAAAAAACCCTATTTTTTATGGAAAATTCAATTTTGAGCAAAAATTCTCAAATCGCATAGTCGATATCAAATTATAGTGACCTGTTTTATATGACCCAATATGTTCTTAATCATTTTGTAACGGGTTTCGATAACCCTGCCCCTGGTATGGATATAATAGGCAAAAAACCAAAAAATCCCATTTTTGGGATTTTTTAAAACTTTTTTGAGAATTCCGGGATTTCTAATAAGAAAATTCGAAATTTTTATTTAATTTTGGATTTTGAGTAAAAAAATCTACCTAACTGTAAAATTTCATCAAAAAATATTCATAAATAAAATTTTTATTGCAATTTGAAAAAATTGTATCTTCGCAAAAACTGAATAAAAAACATTTTTTATTTTTTTTTTTAAAAAAAGTATTCCGCGAATTTTTTAATTTTCAAAAATTATATACAGTTTTGAAAAATAGACAAAATTACCTTTCCATTGATATATAACATGCCTACCTAATGTTTTTTAAGTGACAAATTAATTAGGGAAAACTCAACATCTTTTAGAAAATTTACATAGCACTATTATTTTCATCCATAAGGTTAACTCTTAAATTTGTTACATATATGGATGAAAATAATAGTGCTAGGAAAATTTTCTAAAAGATGTTTTTTTTTTCGACAACACCTCCTCTTTGTGCATACCAAATTTCATTAAAATCGGATTAACCGTTTAGAAGTTACCGAATTATTTCCCTCTTTTTTTTTCCTATACCACTGTGGGTCGTATGCTATGTGTAAAAAGTAATCCAAAAATCGTATTCTTCATTAATACTTCTGCTTTTGTTTATATTTGAGAATTGCGACTTTTTCTCATTACATATTGAGCATCTCCAGAAGGAAGAAGTTTCTGTTATGGCATTACTGACCTTCCCATTAATCATTGTTAAGCTTAGCTGATATGATACGTTAATAGAGAATTCCTTTATTTTTATGCAAATGGGCTCCAGTGCATTTATTTCATCTTTTAAATATAATATAGAGTTAAGACACATTTTTGGCAAAAAAAAACGGCAAAAATCTAAAATTTTTTGAAATTTTAAATTAAAAAACGTATATTTTTGGATCTGTAAATGATATTGATCTGAAATTTTTTGTATATTATTGGAAAAATTGAGTCCATTTGGTCCAAAATTACGCCCGGTATTCAAAAAAAGGCGGACCAAGGTATGGTAAATTTTGTATCACTAAATTTTTAAATGCCTATAACTCGGATATTATAAGAGATAAGTAGTATGTCCAAACATGTTTTTTCAAGATCTCGTCGAGCGCTTTCACAAAATATTAAAATCTTTGTATTTGGGTGAAAAACAAAAAATGGCACGAGTTTAAAAATTTTACATGTCGTAGGTACCCTACTTTGAGCCGCCACAGCGCCGTCCCTGGGGCATCTGCAGGGTTCATCTTCAAAACTTAAACTCGAATACTCCTTGGCTATACTCACGCCAAATTTTATCCCGATCGGATCAGCGGTTTAGAAATGCCAGATTTATTTCCAAAGAATTTCCATTCTGCCCCACTGTGAAATGTTTTGTAAAAACCTAATTTTAAACTTGATCGTAATAAAATGAAATGTTCATGTGAAAACTAAATTGTTTTAGAAAAACAGGCTGTTAAATCTGATTTGGAACGTATGCCGGAATAAAAGATGTTCTTATTTTATGAGGAGAGAGGGACAACAAAGATATTTTATCGCGATTGACTTAGAAAACAGTTTTAAAACCATAATTTTTTACAACTTTTAAGATTTGTTTTCAATGTAAACAAACTGGAATTTTGACAGATAATATTGTAACAGCTGATGATTATATCTCCGTTGTTTATGGTCGGATTTTGCTGATTTTAAATAGGAAACTTCTCGAAAGCATGTCTGATAGAATTATTATCTATCTATCTATCTATCTATCTATCTATCTATCTATCTATCTATCTATCTATCTATCTATCTATCTATCTATCTATCTATCTATCTATCTATCTATCTATCTATCTATCTATCTATCTATCTATCTATCTATCTATCTACCTACCTACCTATCTTTGTCTTTTTATTGCTCTTTCGTTACAAATTTATTTTTTTACAAATTTTTCCACAGCGGGGCTGAATGATGCCATCGAAATTTTACATGACGCATCATTAGAAACCATTTTAGCATTCAAAATGTTCTTAAGTTTTGCAGTTTTTTTATGTCGAAAATTCACTAAAAACTTTCAGTACAGTGATTTCTAAATCAAATTTCAATAACTATAAATCATTTTTAATAAACGCATTATTTTATACATGACATGGCATCCAAACCTCTTATAGTGGAATTTGTCATTTTAAATACACTTTCAAATGGATGAGTATTATCTATTAAGTGCTTAAATAGAGATTCTATAGAAAATAAAGTTAAAATAAAAAAGTACCAAAAGAGATACATTTGCGTACTTCTTTAGAGGTTATGCAGTTAAAAGAACAAACATGAAATAAAACTACACGTATTGCTGAAAACAGTACGTCTGGCAAGCCAAGCTGGTGGCACGATCAACAAGATCCTGGCCGATAAGCGCCACCCTGCTCGCCAATTTATTATTCAATTGTCAAATAACAACGACAGGTCCATATACGTCACAAAATTTCTTAACAAGTATTGTTCCCATAATATATTTGTTCATCCAATGTATTCTATACCTCTCAAATCACTTTTTCTAAAAACCATTGTGAAATATCTCCCAAATGTTAAAGACATGCCAACACCTATGCTTTTGATAGACTTGCTTCAATCGTAGGTGCACTTCCAATTGTAAATACGCCTTTGAAAGGTAAATTTTGAAAAATTCTGGTAGTGGTAAATTTTCCAATTTTTCAATTGTTGGCAAGGGATGTTCATCAATCAGCAGCACGGGGTTAAGAGTTATCTCAAAATCGCCTCATATACGGACATCGCCATTCTTTTTGGGTACGACCATCTTTACCAACAATCCCTCAGGCACCTGTTTTTCTAGCTGCTTCCCTACGGCTTCCATCAATGGAAACGATACACGTCTGACTATTATAAACTTGTTTGACATATATACGCGATTGCAAACCTTGGATCTTTCCAATTGATGACGAAAAAACTTTGTGGTACTTATTCTTCAAAGTATCAATACTCAACGAGTCAATCTTGTTCACTGAAGCTATTTGTTTATCTACATTCAAATCGAACACCAATCAATATTAATTTGATGCAGCCACTCTCTGCCACAGAGTGGTCTACGCTTAGATTTCACTATATATAGTTTTAAGTTTTTTCTTCATTTTTAACTTTTACATTTGCATTGACGTACCCGACGCATTGTATAGGCGTTCCACAATAACTTATTAATTCCATTTCTGGTTCATAATGTTTTGATTTAGGCACTAACTTTTTTGCGTCCGCAACATTCATTATTGACATTGGCGACAATGTGTCAATTTCAAAGAGCATATTTTTGCCAATTAAAAAACCGTATAAAAGTTTAGAACGACTTTTATCCACAGCACATTCTTCTATTTTTAAGAGATCTTCCACTGTTTCCATGCTTATCGCCTCCACTTTTAATGATTTTCTTTCTAACAATCGGTGTTGTATTTTTTGTCCAGAAGCCCAAAAACAAATTGGTTGCTCAATGCCACATCCAAATGGGCACCAAAATTACAGCCAACTGCAAGCGCAACCGCAAATTCAGCGCAAGTTTCTTCCGACTTTTGTTTCCGAAAGTTGAAACGAAAATTTTCTAACAACTCGTTAAGTTTCTTCCAATATTGAGTAAATTTTTTTTCCAATTTTCAATTGTTTATGCACATTTCGTTCTTATTTTTAATGTATTTTAAAATTTTTGTGTGTTATTTATTGAATACATACCGAATATATTTGAAAATAAAATGTTTTTGAATTGTTTTAAAAAATTCATGAATACCGTATGCCAAAAAAATCAGTAATATTTTTGAAAATCAAATTACAAAAGTTTAGACTAGAAAATTGTATTATGATGCAAACATTTTTGAGAAATATTAATACTCAGTATTGTAGTCTGAAAATACCTTTACTAGGATTTTTTAAATTTTTGAATTCAAAAAACTAAATTGTGTTTTTTAATACTAATATATTTTAGAAGAAGAAGAAGCTAAACGACAAGCACAAAAAGAACGAGATGATGAAAAGGATGAGTTAGAAAGTGTTACAGGTGGAAAATCATCAGTAAAACTCAAAGCTTCAGAAATTTATTCGGATGATTCGGGAAGTAGTGACTGGGAAGATGATGAAAAGCCGTCTACAAAACGAACCCCATCAAATAGCAGTAAATATTCTAGTGAATCAGAGGATGAAGAATCAGAGGAGCATCAAACTAGATTTATTAACACTAGAGATGAATTAAACAAGATACGTTTATCGCGATTTAAAATGGAGAGGTTTATAAATTTGCCAATTTTTGAACGAACTGTACTCAATTGCTTTGTTCGTATTAGTATTGGAAACAATGGACAAAAACCTGTATATCGTGTTGCAGAAATTGTAGGTGTGGTTGAAACTGCTAAAATATATAACTTGGGTAAAACCCGTACCAATAAGGGTTTACGTTTGAAACATGGGAACCAGGAGCGTGTATTTCGACTTGAATTCATTTCAAATCAAGAATTTACGGAGAGCGAGTTTTCCAAATGGCGTGAAATTTGCGTACAACAAAATGTTCAAATGCCTTCATCAAGTCTTATTGAGAAAAAATTAGCTGATATTAAAGAAGCTTTGAATTATGAATTTAAAGATGAAGATGTGGATAAGATAATAGAGGAAAAAAATAGATTTCGGAACAGACCAACAAACTATGCAATGAAAAAAACTTGTTTAATGAAAGAAAGAGATGCTGCGATGTTACGTGGTGACTATGAAGTTTCACAAGATTTAAGTCAGCAAATAGAAGAACTTGAGAGTCGAGCATCAGAATTAGATAAACGAAGATCGAGCAGTATAAGTTTAATTTCTTATATAAATGATCGCAACAGAAAACGTAATGTAGAGGATGCCGAAAAAGCTATTTTAGAGGAAGCACGAGCTAATAAAGGATTACGGATATCAGATCCCTTTACGAGACGAATCACACAACCACGTATGGGTTTTAAACAACCAAATGATAAAAAGGACATTGAAGAAGTAAATGAAAAGACATCATCTGAATCATTAGATATTCATAAGTTTGAACAAATGGAGAAAATAAATAAAAATGGTGACAACAAAAATTATAATCTATACTCACTGCATGACTTCGATATAGATTTAGACGTAACAGTTCCAGGTATGTTGTGTTGTTATTAAAATATAATGTTTTACTCAAAAAATGTAATTAATTATGTCGACTAATTAATTGATTTCATTAACATTTATAATAAACGTATTCACGTCACAATTTTTCTTATGCAAAATTGCGAAAATGCAAAATTTTAATCTAGTTGACGTGAGCATCCTTTTTTGCAACAATATTCACATTTGAATAACAATTACCAAAAACACTACCCATTTTGAGTTGAAAAAATAAAAAAAATATTTTAGACAATTATTATGAATTTCGTAATAAATATGCATCCAAACAATTTAGTGTACACCATAAATTAGGATGTGTCAATCCTCCTCCGAATTTAGATAATGATATTGGCGACACACAGTGTTCGATTTTCTAATTTAGCTGGCCAAAACCCCAGAAATGAACTTAAAACATGTAAGAGTGCTATATTCGGCTGTGCTGAATCTTATATATCCTTCACCCTTCATAGTGTATTTAAAATATATTTATTTTATAAAATTTATATTTATTTTAATTTTCCGACTATATCATTATTATATCAATAGCAAAACAAAAGAAACAACAACGAATAACGAAATAAAACACACAAAAAAAGGTTTCCTTAGACCTGGTTCACACTGGGAAACTTTTGTTCAGAAACATTTGATTTTGTGTGTGAGAGAAAGAGATGGTTGATATTTCTAGACTAAATATAAAAAAAAACATGAACCAATTTTCAAGAAATTTGGCAACAGACAGTATATTTTTAGAATCAACTTTTTGATCTGGATTTTATGCTTTTTTATGCTCTTGTGATTTTAATAAAATGCAATGACCTTTTTCCGTCCATTTTTTGTTACATTTATAATGCTCATGATATATACTTCTTAGGGCCAATCTTTAGGTGAAAGATTAGCGATTAAATTAAAATTAATCCTCGAAAGATGTTTTTGAGTACTCAATTAGTTAATTTTGTTTGCAAAAGTGTAAACAGCTGATGCAAAAAAATTAATAAAATTTTTATAAATATAAACATTAAATTGTTCTATTTATTGATTAGTATAAATTATGGAGACTTCAAAATACATTTCTTTGTTTTTAATTTAAGTTTTCATTAATTTTCATATTAAATTTACAATTGTCTTCTTCTTTTTATAAAATATGCATTGTTTTGATAACAAACAGTGAAGTTTTCTGTTGTTTTGTATGGCAACACTGCGAAGTTTAATCTTGTACTCAAAAACATCAAAGGGGATTAACATAAGATTAAATTTATTTTTAGATTAACTAATCTGATTATTAATTGGCATTTGATTACCATCTCAAAAACCCGCTCTTATATTATATGAGAATTATTATTTAGGTAGTTAAAATTTTAATCAAAAATTTATTTTTATTTGAAAACTCTAAAATGTTTGTAGGTCCTTAACTTACTTTACGATTAGGTAAAATAAAAATTTGTAATCAATTTAATTTATTATCAAAAATCAATTTTCATCTAAAGCGTAAAATCAGTTGTAGATTCGTATATCCCATCACCTATATTTTCCACCGGAAAACTATTCTTATTTCAAAACCTGTAATCCGCTGTATATTCTTAAAAACTATTTTAAAACAGAATCGGATGTAGTTTACTACGGTCGAGAAATAGCATATGAAAATTTTTTATCAAAGTTATATTGTTGTTGATCCGTATATATTACTCCCATCACTTATATTTTTCACCGGAAAACTATTTTTATTTCAAAACCTGTAATCTGCTGTATATCCTCTGAAAATAACAATTTTAAAAGAGAATCGGATGTAGTTTCCTACGATCGAGAAAACTATAAACTATATTAGATCTTGAATGAATGTCTACGATGCCACTTTTGTATGCAGAATAAAAACTACTGAACAAAAACCGCTCCTAATATAGGGTTAATAATATATTCATATTAAATTTTTCACAAAAATTCGAATTTTAAACTTAAATCTACAAATCCATCTAGAAAATCATTCATATCTCCCCTTAAAATTTCTAGTTATATAACTCTTTAAAAATTTATTTTAAATAACTCTCAATTCGAGAAAACAATAAAGATCCGTTAGGTTAGGTTGATAGGAGGATGTATACTACATCAAATCCTAAAAAATACACCTACATCGGGCCTGTGTTTGCTCCTTAAAGATCCGTAATCATTCATATTTTCCATACAAATTGAGTTTTATATGAAAAATATAAAATTTTAATTTATTATTAAATCGATATAACAATAAAAATCTGCAATAAGTTAAATAAACCATCAAAAAAATATCTTGATATAAATTCGGTTGCCATTTTTTAAATGCAGCTCAAATCTAAAAAACCATGATATGTATTTGACTACTCATTAGAGTGTCTTGAAAGACAGCACTTTTGCTAATCTCAAACGATGCATATAAAGCATTTTTCATATAAAAAATGGATGAATTAATCTTTCAATATCTTTTTATACCTTTAGAAAATTATCCGCCAAAAATTCTGCACGTGCTTTTCAAATTAAATAATGATTTTGAATAATTCCAGCACACATTTTCCGAATTCCGAAATTTTTTAATTAAAGGATGATGCCTAACAAACAAACTCTTTCGTTTAAAAAGTTTTATATTTTTGTTTGATATTATATTTCTATATTTTATGAAATAATGTTTTGAATTAGCCATTTTTATTCAATATCAGTTGACCAATGTAAGAAAGATCTTCATTAAAAATTATTCTTAATTTTAAATAAACTCTTTGTGTTTGCTGGGTTGAGTCAATATTGACACTTGAAAGTTATATTAAAAAAATAAAAACGATTAAAAATTTTTTTTCTGAAAATGTTTTCAATCATTTTATAGGAAAAACATAACTTTTAGCATTGTTTATTGCAGCAGCAGGGGCAATTTTGCCAAAGGAATTGTGCTAATGCTAAAATTAACGCTTGATATGAACGATTATTGTTAATTTCAAAGCAGCCCAAATGCAGTCAAAATACACCCTACACCACACTAATGGGAACGGCATTTTGTTTATGTTTTAATGTTTGTAACACCTGCGTCGATGTAATGATGTAATCCGTCCATAAATTAGCCTATTGAACTTTTTTGTAAGCGGTACATGCTATACAAGAATAGGGTATTTATAAAATTCGACTCAACAAATTTTATATATACGAAATTTTGACTATATATTGTTATAATGAGTAGTACATTCATTAATTAAGCAAACATCAATCTCTTAAATATAACTTCTACATTAAAAAATACTAAGTAACTTATTGCTACTTACTCGCAATGTGGTAGGGTATGATGTATTCGGATACATTTTGTACTTTCATATTTATGTTATTTTATGTAAATAAAAATAAAAGTACTCATACAATTGTACTAAATTCACACAGAACCTGTACACGGATTTAATAAGTGATGTCTAAATCCATCCAAAACTTTAGTCTGGATGCATAAGCTAATAAAAAAAATAATATTTGTAAACATACTTTTTTATAAATGGATGTATTTTTGAGAAACAATGACGACGTGTTTTGTTTTCTCTGTCAAGATCAAGGATTCTTCATATATTCCTAGGACGTAATTTTTTTCTTTTTAAAGGAATCTTTTGTAAAACTATTATTCCACCAATTTTGCAATCATAATATACTAACCCCCTTATTCACAAACAAAATTTTTATTTTATAAACAGTTTATAAAGTAGATTTTGTATGGAAAATTTGTTTTATAAACCTTTTATAAAATAAAAATGTTGTTTGTGAATAAGGGGAAAAAACTACACCATAGTTATTAAATAAAAGAAAAACATTATAAAACAAGTTAGAAAGTATAGTCGGGCGTGACCGACCATATGATACCCACCACCAGTTATGAATATTAAATGTGATTTATTCCGATACATTTAAGCAATTTATGGATGAAAAACTAATTTTCTGAAACAGGCTTTATATGGGGCCTACGGGCAATTATGGACCAAGCCCGATAAAGTTTTGTGAATATATTTATATAATATTTATTTGTGCTGAATTTCATCGCGATATTTGTGTTTAAAAGTTAATTTTGGACATTCAAGTAATTTTGGGAAGGGGACTTTGTATGGGAGCTAGGGTCAAATGAGGCCCGATCTTTATGAAATTTGGCAAGTTCATCAAGGCTTGTATAAAACTTAGTTGTGCCGCTTTTTATCAATATACAGGTATATTTAACATAATTATGAGCTCAGAAGCCCTTTTCGGGGGGTTCTGTTCTATGGGGACTAGGTAAAATAATGGACCGATTTTAACCATTTTCAATAGGCTTCGTCCTTGGCTCAAAAATTTCATCCAATTATCTTATCGACTCAGAAAACGATTCTAAGACGATTGGTGGTGTAGGGTATACAAAACATAATAAATCATAAAAAATCATACGAATCATAAAAATCTTTAAAAAGGTATGGGGAATTTGTGTCAATTGACCCAACTTTAAAAATCGATGTGCTCCGATTTGGATGACACAAATTTTCAGCTCTATCTAAGTAATAACAAAGCTCCTTAAGGCAATGGTCGAAGCTTTCTTTTGAGAAAAAAAATTACAATAAAAGCATCCATTTAAAAAAAAATAGGGGAAAATTAAGTTCCATATATTGAAAAAAATATTATTCTTGAGTTAAAACTCGCATCCCATTATAAGACTATAAAGCTCTTCAAGGAAATTGTATAAGTTTTCTTTTAAGCAAAAAAGGTCCCATTTTGAAAAAAAAGCAATTTAAAAAAATTATTATTGAAATGTTTTTTTCAAAAATTAAAAAAAAAACTAGAAGGAGTCCTATATTCGGCTATGCCGAATCTTATATACCCTTCACCATGATGTGTTAAATAGAATAGCCAGTACAAAAAATTATTACAAAAAATACCAGTTGTAGAACGATAGGTTTTTTTATAGGTTTTCACCTAATCAAGGGCTCTACATGCTTAATTTCATGTTTCTATGTTCAATCTAAATATATATATATTAGTTTTGAT